CCACGAAAGGCGGCCCCTCAACCCCCAAAATCCCAAAAACCCTGAGCGCAAGGGTCTCGTGAGCTCAAGAAGCTTCTTCGTGTTGCATCTGGGCTTCGGACGGGTACAAGCTCCTGAATTCCGAACCCTAAGCCCTACTTGGAGGTTCACGGGTACCAATAGCCCCAGCTACAAGTCTACTTATAACCTACTTGAAGGGTACAGTTATAGTCGGGGTTTCAAGTTCCCTGAGCCTCCAAGTAAACCGGAGGTCCTTAAACCCTAAACCCTAAACCCCAAACCCTAAACCCTAAACCCCAAACGCACTTCCCGAGCTCCAAGCGAGCACGCGGTTCTTCGATGCGCAGGAGGCTGAGCCTAAGTGAAACGGGTGCGGGCAAGAACCAACAACAAGGAGCCACAAGGAGGCGCCCCCTTACTATTTAGGGTTTAGGGTTTAGGGTTTAGGGTTTAGGGTTTGGGGTACAGTGAATTGCACTTAGACTAGTAGAGCCTAAGTTAGGATCCTTACCCCCCCAAGTTAGTGCCCTTCGAACTCTACTTGTATCTAGGGGGCCCCTCCTTGTAGGGGTCATACCAATTAACCCCCCCCCCCCCCCCCCCGATTTCGATGCACATCAGAAGATGGTCCACCGGCACTTTGTCCGCACCTCTCTGCTCAATCTCGCTGATGATGCCACGCTGAAACCCTAAACCCTAAACCCTAAACCCTAAACCCTAAACTGCACCAAAGCTGTCTCGAAAAGCCATCCCCCAGGACCCATATCCGAGGTGGCTCCACTCGTAGTGCGCCTCCTTGTTCCGCGACGTGTGCCCACGATGCTCTGGTTCGTTCTTAGGCTTAGGGTACCCTAGGGTTTAGGGTTTAGGGTTTAGGGTTTAGGGTTACCCTAAACCCTAAACCCTAAACCCCGAAACCCTAAGCCCTAAACCCTAAGCCCTCCCTCCTAGAAGCCCTGCTTTGGGGTTTCGGGGTTTAGGGTTTAGGGTTGGGGATGTTCCTCCTTAGACAAGCAGTCTTCACAGGAAATATAATAGGGTATAAGGGGGAACATACAAAGTTTAGGGTTTAGGGTTTAGGGTTTAGGGTAACCCACACAAGGCGCATCCCATGTTTAAAGGGGGTCTTCAGTCATCGGGTCCCCCGGCATCCGTTCACGCCATGGAGGGCGCAGCCACGGTCACGGGTCCTGCTGCGCAAGATGCCGAAAACCTTTCAGCAAAACCCTACTTGGAGGTTCATGGATACTTTTATAACCCTTAGGGTCTAGGGTTTAGGGTTTAAGGTTTAGGGTTTAGGGTTTAGGGCTACAACCCCAATTATAGGTCTACTTACAACCTACTTAGCGGACTTAGGGGGGCTCATAAGTACAGTTATATACTTTGGGGTTCGAAGTACCCCGAACCTCCAAGTAAGCTTTAGGGGTATTTGGCCAGGGACCCGTAGAAGGGACCCTTCATCTTCTTCCCCTTTATAACCCCTATATGTACCTCATGTCGTCCCTATACACCTAAGCCCCCTAAACAACCCCCAAAGAACCCCTAAGGTCCCTCATAATTAAGGGTCCTCCTTGAGTACCGTGATAAGCCCTAAATAAGCCCCAGAAACGATAAGGGCTTAGGGTTTGGGTTTAAATTAGGGTTTAGGGTTTAGGGTTCTGTGTAACAGTGTCTAAGCCGCGGGTTCGCAGGAACTCCCTACGAGGCCTACGGGGCGATCTCCTCAACCGTGACTAACGATCTGTGAACACAGAATATTGGACCGTGACTCTATAAGCCCTATAAAACCCTAGCAGCCCGAAAACACTGAGGCCTTACGGCCCGTAAGGCTCTAAGGCCCTTAAGGACCATAAACCCTTAAGGCCCTAAGGCCCTATTCCCCTCCGCGGTCCAGTTGTCGCTGGTCTTGTGGCTGTGGCGGAGGAGCGCCTGCACCAAACCCCGCCACAACCTCTACAAAGGAGGGGGCCCCCTCACGATACTTGACAGTAGTTAAGGGCACTTACCTAAGTTAGGATCCTTACAACCCCAATTTAGGGACCCTTATAAGTCTACTCATCACCCTTGTTACTTTGGGGGCCCTCCTGGCGCGTTTTGAGCTCTCAAGCCCTATAAGCTCTTTCAACATATATAGCTTCGCCTCCCCTGAACTGCGAAACCTGCCCCCTCAACCCTAAGCCCTCAACCCTAAACCCTAAAGTCCCAAACCCTAGGGTAAACCCTAATCCCCAAGCCCTGACATAGCAGAGCTCTTTGGGGGGTTCGGAGCTTTAGGGTTTCGTCTCTTAGGGTTGAGGGGTTCAGGGTTTAGCGGCTCAGGGGTTCTCTCGGTGGTGGCTTGCTCAGCAGGCTTCCAGACGTTTCTTTTTAGGGGATTAGGGCTTTACAGCTTGAGGGCAGCATCTCTGTGTTTTTTTTTGTGCTCTCTCTCTCTCTCTATCCGGAACGGACAGGAGATCAGGAAACACAAGCCAAGTGCCCCTTTTGCAACTGGACTGCGGACAACTGCGAGGAAAGGAGACAAGTGCCCCTCAAACCTCAACCCTAAACCCGTGATTTTCCCGGGCCCCTTTAGAACCCATGAGTTTTCTGGGGCCCCTACAAAACCTGAAACCCTAAACTCTTTTTTGCACTAGGGCTCTCTCAAGCGCCTGCTTTAAGTCAGAAGAAGCCTGCCATAACACCCTAAACCCTAAACCCTAAACCCTAAACCCTCAACCCCTTAGGTTGCCTGTACCCAAACACCACGTTCGGATCCTTAGAGTTGAGACCTGTTAACTTCAACGGTGGGAGGAGGATGTAATCGTCTTCTGGTAGGGTTTAGGGTTTAGGGTTTAGGGTTTAGGGTTTAGGGTTTAGGGTTTAAGGTTTAGGGTGTAGGGTTTAAGGTTTGGGGTTTGGGTTTAGGGTTTTTGGGCGGTTTAGAAGCTGTGCCCTAAAGCCTTCATCCCTGGTCCAAGAAGCCTGCAGTCGCGAGAGGGTCGTCTCGTCCGTGACCTCGAGCGCACGAAGCCCAAAAATCTACTTTCATCCTAAACCCTAAACCCTAAACCCTGAACTCTGAAGTAAACCCTGAACCCTAAACCATTCAGAAGCCGGTCCCTACGACATGACCAGCTGGGTCTTGTCAGAAAGTGTGTTGTGACATTGATCTGTCTACTTGGAGGTTCAGGGTACTTATTAACCATTTTAATAGGGTTTAGGGTTTAGGGTTTCGGCTTTAGGGTTTAGGGATTATAGCTGTACTTATAGCCCACTTACAAGCCCCCTAAGTGCCCTAACATGGTTATAGGTACAGTTATAAGTACAGTTACCCTACACTCCTAAACCCTAAACCCCCAAACCCTAAACCCTAAACCCTAGCCCTAAACCCTAAACCCTAAACCCTAAACCCTAAGTTCCTGGCTTCTACCAGCCCCTGGGCATGAGCCGTCCAGTGGCTTGGCGCGCCCTCCTGCAGATGCATAGGGTTTTAGGGTTTGGGGTTTAGGGTTTAGGGTTTAGGGGTTTAGGGTTTAGGGTTTAGGGTTTAGGGTTTGGGGTTTGGGGTTTAGGGTTTAGGGTTTAGGGTTTAGGGTTGAGGGTTTGGGGTTTAGGGTTTAGGGTTTAGGGTTGAGGGTTTGGGGTTTAGGGTTTAGGGTTTGGGGTTGAGGGTTGAGGGTTTAGGGCTTAGGGTTTAGGGTTGAGGGTTTGGGGTTTAGGGTTTAGGGTTTAGGGTTGAGGGTTTGGGGTTTAGGGTTTAGGGGTTTGGGGGTTGAGGGTTTAGGGGTTTAGGGTTTAGGGGTTTAGGGTTTAGGGTTTAGGGGTTTAGGGTTTGGGGTTTAGGGTTTAGGGTTTAGGGGTTTAGGGTTTAGGGTTTAGGGGTTTAGGGTTCTTGGGGTTCTTAGGGGCTCATAGGGTTCATAAGGTTTAGGGTTTAGGGTTGGGGGTTTAGGGTTTAGGGTGCGTAGGGTTGTTAGGGTTGCTAGGGTTTAGGTGTTTAGAGAATCGGGTGTGTAGCGCTTGTAGAGTTTATAGGGTTCATAGGGCTTAGGGTTTAGGGCTTTTTGATTGGGTCTATAGGACTTCTAGGGCTTATAGGGTTGACAGGTCTTGTAGGGCTTCTCGGGCGCATAGGCTTCACAGGGCTTATAGGAGCTTAATGATAGGGTTTATAGGGTGGTCTATAGGGTTTATGGGATTTATAGGGCTTGTAGGGTTCGTAGGGTATCTTCTAGGGCTTTAAAACGGCTTATCGGGATGACAGGGCTTACGGTGGGGTGGAGGCTTTAGGATTTGTCCGGGCCTTGCTCGCAGTGTCGTAGTACGTCAGGGTTTAGCTTCAGGGCTTGCTGGCGAGGATCACTTTGTTGTTTTTGTGCTCCAATTTTCCAGACATGCCAGGGCTTTGGCATGTTGTAATTGGTGTAGGGTTTATAGGGTTGATAGGGTTTAGAGGGTGGCCTATGGCTGGGTGGGATAGTGAGCCCTAAACCCTAACCCTAAACCCTAAACCCTAAACCCTTCACCCTAAACCCTAAACCCTGAACCTTAACCAGGTTTCAGGCTCTCGGGGTTCAGATTTGGAGTTTCGCCCGTTAGGGCCTTGAGGGCTTCAGGGCTTGCGTGCTTTGAGCTGCTACACTATACACCCTGTTCCCTTCTTTGGAGTACACCCTGGAAACAAAGCATATACTGTTTAGGTACAAGCAGCTATGATAGGAACCCAGAACCAAAAACAGTGTTACAGTCTAGTACTCCAAAACCCAGTGTTAGAGCCAGAGCCAAATGTTCCCTTGGGTTTGATATAAACAAAACATGATCATCATCTCGAATCATCTCGAAGGGAACCGTTGAAAAGGTTCGCTAACCCTAAACCCTAAACCCTCGCTAACCCTAAACCCTGACCCTAAACCCTAAACCCTAAACCCTAAACCCTAAACCCTAATTAAGCCCTCAGCCCTAAACCCTAAACCCCAAACCCCAAACCCTAAACCCTAAAAGCCCCAAGCTCTTTCAGGTCAGTTCCTGAGCTGGTCTTGCACCTCGCAGCTGTTCCCGCCGCATGCGGCCTCGCCCCAGGTCACAATGGAGCCGTTGCCTCGGATGGCCGCAAAAGCGCCTGAGGAGGCTTGGATACTCTCCACCTGAGTTGCTGAGTTTAGGGTTTAGGGTTTAGGGTTCAGGGTGTAGGTTTGAGTACTCTACAGCTGAGTTGCTGAGTTTCATAAGGCCCCCCAACCCCCCCCCCCCCCCCGAAAAAAAAAAGGTGTCCACTTTCAGTTAGTATCCCAAAGAGTGTAGAGGTGTACTCATTCAGCGACTAAGCCACATTTTGAAGCTGATCTTGCACAGAGCTGCTGTCGCCACCATACACAAGATGGCCCCAGGTGACCACCGAGCCATCCCCTAAGACTGCGGCATACGCTCCTTCAGTAGCCTGGATGCACTGCACATCTTTCAGCCGATCTTGCACAAGACTGCTGTCTCCACCATAGGTCCTGTCACCCCACGTCACAACAGAGCCGTCACCCAGTATCGCCGCAAACGATGCATGCGCAACGTGCCCGACGGCTTGGATATCCTGCACATCTTTCAACCGATCTTGGACAGAGCTGCTGTCCCCACCCATGCTCGGATCTCCCCAGGTCACGACCGAACCATCGAATCGGATGGCAGCAAACGCATGACGGTTGCTCTGAATCTTCTGCACACCTGTGAGCTGATGACGTACGGCTCCGCTGTCGCCACCCGACTTGGCATCGCCCCAAGTAACGACGCACCCGTTGTGCAGGACGGCAGCAAATGCGCCGCGCGCCGATTGGATTTGCTGTACATCCATGAGCTGATCTTGAACTCCGCTGCAGTCGCCACCATATAGTGCCTATACTCCCCCTATAGAACCTTAATAAAGACAATATTTTGAATACCCTCTTGGGTTGTACATAAGACATAAGCAAAATTTTAATTAAAAAAAACACATTCCCAAGGGGGATATAGGCGCATGCCCCCAGGTAACGACCGACCCACCCCGGAGGATGGCCGCAAACGCGCCCTGAGAGGCCTGGATCCGATGCACATCTTTCCTTGGGAACCAAATGAACCCCAAAATCGTGACCATATATACTACTATAATCCTTCTTAGGGTATATGAACCATAAACCCTTAAAATCGTGACCACATACCCTATACTACTATAATCCTTATTAGGGTATATGAACCATAAAACCCTTTTAGGGTTCATGTCAATGTGGTTCTCGAGGTTCAGGTGATCTTGAACAGCGGAGCTGTCCCCGCCAAAGCGGCCATCGCCCCAGGTGACCACAGACCCATCTGCCAAGAGAGCAGCAAATGCTCCGTTTGGAGAAGCTTGAATCTCCTTACTTCTCCAATAACCAAGGGGAAAAAAGGTTAAACTTTATTATTCCTGCTAAATAAGGGAACCCAAAAAGTTTAAAGTTCAGCTGTTGGAGAAGTAAGTCTCCTGCACGTTCTGCAAGAGATGCTGTACAAACCGGCTATCGCCCCCATAGCTCCCATCACCCCAAGTAATCACCGAGCCATCGGTCAGGATGGCAGCAAACCCTTGCCTTAGTTGTCCAGTAACCTGGGGGCACTAAAGGTTAACCTTTGGGACTATAAGGGGATTGCATTACCCCAAAAAGGTAAAAGGTTACCTACTCTACTACTAGGTTGCTCCGTGCTGGTGACCGATCTGACAGACGCTGGGAGCAGCACCTGCGTTGCCTGCAATCCCCAGGCTGCCCCGTGGCCACCGATCGCAGCAAATGCGACGCGGTTGCCATGGATCGCCTGCACGTCCTTCAGATGATCTTTCACAGCCCAGCTGTTGCCGCCGTAGCCTTCATGACCCCAGGTCACCACAGATCCGTCACGGAGAAGTGCAGCAAAAGCAAAAGAGGCAGCCGCCACTTGAACGGGAATCTCAATCAGGGACAGCACATCGCCATCTTGCAGCCCGCACTGCTCGACAGTTGCATGACCATCGATCACGCCACAGTTCTTTGACAGACGTCCCCGCCCGGTACCCAACTGCCTGCTGGCGCGCTGGCTCAACTGGTCGATTGTAGAATCCAGGTCTACATCAAGATCCACCGTCCTGCCGCTCACAAGACAGACCTGCACGGTTATGGACATGGCTTTGCAAGGGGAGCATTCAGAAGACCGAAAGATCCCCCCACACCCTACACCCAATGTGTGGTACCTGAAAACATCACCCGGCAGACTGTAACCCGAGCATTTTCTAACTAGCCATGAACCCCAAAGAACCCTGAACCCTAAGAACAAAGCAGGAGCCACAAACGATTGACCCCGCACCCCTCGAGCCAGTCCTGCAAGCCAAGCACCCATGTTACAGGGTTTAGGGTTTAGGGTTTAGGGTTACAGCATACATCTCCTCCCTTTGCTTGAGCACATGTTGACCAGGCCCAAGAAAACACCAACGCAGCTCTCGCAACCGGAAAAAAAATGTCGGAACACCGACTCTGACCGGCCCCCAAAGCTCCAACCCCAAAACGAAACTTAAAGCCCTAAACCCCTAAACCTCTAAGCCCCTAAACCCTAAACCCCTAAACCTCTAAGCCCCTAATCCCCTATGCCCCTATAAACCCTATACAGGCAAGCCCTGAACCAGAGACCCGGCTAAGCGCTGGTCCCACAGCAGCTTCGGGGTTCAGGGGTTCAGGGGTTTAGGGTTCTCAGGGGCTTAGGGTTTTAGGGACTTAGAGTTTCGGGGTTTAGGGACTTAGGGTTTAGGGCATTAGGGACTCAGAGTCGGGTTTTAGGGGCTTTAGGGTTTTTAGGGACTTAGAGTTTAGGGTTTAGACCTCAGGGGTTGTGGGGCTTTTCTTTTTGGACATTTAGGGGGGGCTTCTTGTGCCTCATACAGGTAACTTCAAACCCTAAACACTAAACCCTAATCCCTAAACCCTCGGTACCCTGTAAGGTTTTGCAAGGTCTTCTCAGACGTGTACAAGGCCTTTGCGTGGCAAAGCTGGTCTGCCAGGATTGCGAAGTTGATGGTCCCATTTGGGGTACTCTAAAATAAGAGGGGCCATTCAAAAGGGACCATATTTTAGAGAAGTGACCCAACTTGGGCTGCTCCCCCTTTTACGAACAATCCTTCATAAGGATGAGAATAGGGGTACTATAATCCCTCTGAAGGACTGTTAGCAAAAGGGGGAATCCCAACCCCCCCAAACCCTCAACCCTAAACCCTAAACCCCCTGTGAGAGGGAACATCCCAAGACAAAAACCTTTGACCCGCCTCCAAGAAAGCAGACATGGTGCGCTGGGCCAGGTCCTCAGCTACGGTACGGTCTTGACGGCTTCGGGTCTGTCAGCTTTTAGGGTTTTTACCTATCACACTCGCACAAGGCCGGCAAGGGTTTAGGGTTTAGGGTTTAGGGTTTAGGGTTTAGGGTTTAGGGTTTAGGGTTTAGGGTTTAGGGTTAGGGTTTAGGGTTTAGGGTTTAGGGTTTAAGGTTTAGGGTTTAGGGTTTAATTGGAGTTTAGGGCTGAAGGGGTTTAGGGCTTGTAGGGTTTAGAGGGTCTGTAGGGTTTGTGGGTTTTACAGGCCTCGAGGGCCTCTAGGGCCTTCAGGGTTTCACAGGCTTTCATATCTTGCACGGGTTGGAGCCCCCTAAACCCTAAACCCTAAACCCTAAACCCTAAACCCTAAACCGGGCAATGGGGCGATGCAACGCTGGTCCAGGCCTATTTGCCCGGCACCTTTGTGCCAGTGTACTCGGGCTCTGCATGCTGCTCAGCTACCTCCTGTAAGCCTATTTTTCAGCAAGTCTACTTCACGAAACCCTAAACCCAGCAGCAACAAAGTGCTGGAAGCAAAGGGCCACCCTCAGTACAACATGTAGGTTTTTCTCCACCCCTAAACCCTTTTAGACCATCCTTCAGGGCGCAAATCGGAAGTGGATTCAAGGGTTTAGGGTTTAGGGCTAGGGTTCACCAGTCGGAAGTGGATTCCGGCGCCTCTTTGTTCCTAAACCCAAAATCCAAAACCCAAAACCCTAAACCGCAGACTGAATACCTCAACTTAAGAGCTTGGTAGAAGGCCCCCGCTCCAGGGGGGAGATGCCTCTGCCTCCTCCAAAACCCCCCACGGGGCGCGAGGATACAGTGCGTGGTGGCCAGGGGAGACTCAGAAAGATGCTCAACGCAGGTTTCGGGTTCTAGGGTTCTAGGGTTCTAGGATTCTAGGGTTCTAGGGTTTAGGGCTTAGGGTTGGGGTTTAGGGTTCAGGGTTCAGGGTTCAGCGTTCAGGGTGCAGGGTTCAGGGTTCAGGGTTCAGGGTTTAGGGTTTAGGGTTTAGGGTTGAGGGTTTAGGGTTTAGGGCTTAGGGTTTAGGGTTTAGGGCTTCTATGATATGCTGAAGAAGCCGGCGAGGCTCAGATCGGTGCATCGACGCCTTGTGTCCACAGACCTGCCGCGACTGAAGAAGTGAGGTTGATGTGGTTGCATGCTAGGGTTTAGGGTTTAGGGCGGGTTTAGGGTTTAGGGTTTAGGGTTTAGGGTTTAGGGTTGGGGGTTTCAAGAATTCTAGGTTGAAGAACTGGGCTGTAAGAATTTAGAGACAGAAGGCCAATCCCCGAAGTGGCAGGGAAGGTTTGGGGCTACTCAAACCCCTCATACACGTTAAACCCGAAAATTGCTATACCCTAAAGCCTAAAGCCTAAAGCCTAAACCCCCTTGCTCCAAGGCATCCGCGTAAAACACCCTGAATCCTTAACGATAGTGAAGGGACTTGGGACCTAATTTTGGGATCCTTATAACCCAACTTAGGGCCCTTATGACTCTAGTAATAACTTGCAACGCCCCTCCTTGTATAAGAACGTAAACCCTAAACCCTAAAATCCCTCAAACCCTAAACCCTTGTAGCTTGGAGCCTCCCCCCCCCCCCCCCCCGCACGTACACCCTAAAATCTTCCAAAACACCCTGAACCTTAACATCCCCCGACTCCTTAAACCCTAAACCCTACGCCCTAGAATCCCAAACATCCCAAACCCAAAACCCTAAACCCTAAACCCTTACGTGGGGACCCGTTACAAGTCTAGGATTTGCTGGGCTCTGAGCTCTGGAGCTGAGTCATGGTGCCTGAAGGCCCCAAACCCGAACTTCACAGGATGGATTTAGGGTTTAGGGTTTAGGGGTTAGGGTTTAGGGTTTAGGGTTTAGGGTTTAGGGTTTAGGGTTTAGGACTTAAGGTTCAGGGTCTAGGGTGCATTGAAATTACGATGGGTTCAGGCCCGAGGGTTTCGAGGAATTTCGTGGAGCTTCGAGGAAAGTCTTGAGGAGTTTTGTATCAACATTTCAGAATTTGAAGTTACGGGTTTAGGGTTTAGGGTTTAGGGATACTTATGTCCAACCTTGGGGCAAATCCACACCCCATCGTCTAGCACAATTCCTGGTAACACATGTGGGTGGTTGTCAAAACTATGGTCCCCTTTTGGATCCCCACGATCATACGGCACCCGAATATTCACGGTACCCCAGGATTATGTTTTTGACAACCACCCATGTCACCCTAAACCCATATACCCCAAAACCCCAGAGAGCCCATGAGGAATCTGGCCGGAGAACCTGCTTAACCCATGTAGCCCATACAACCCTGAACCACATAAAGCACATCTGATTTGAATCTCCAGCCCTAAACCCTAAACCCTAAACCCTAAACCCTAACATACCCTTTCACACCCGGCTTCTACCAGGCCGGCCGGACGCAGAGTTGAGAGGTCGGGCCATCCCCGCCTATCCAGGGGAGTTGAGGTTTAGGGTTTAGGGTTTAGGGTTTAGGGTTTAGGGTTTAGGGCTTAGGGCTGAGGGTTTCGAGCTCCCAAACAACAGGTTCAAGGATGGTCCACTGAGACTGACAACCATAAACCCTAAACCCTCAACCCTAAACCCTACAGCCCTACAGGGTTTAGGGTTGAGGGCTCAGGGTTGCTGTCAAAGCGTTCTGGCAAAAAAGTCGTGCTTCTGTGCGGAGTCAGCAAAGCGGCTCGGCCACCGGCACCAATGGGCTACCGGCTGCTAAGTAGGGTTTAGGGTTTAGGGCTTATTAGGGTGGGGGAATGAGGTTCCCTATATAAACCCTTAAGGGGTACACATAGTGCCCTGATTCCCTCATTCCTTCCTAAGAACCGGGGGGTCTAAGTGAAACCTCCCCAAAATGAGCCACGACGGAAGAAAGACTTGGGGGGTTTAGGGCTTCGAGACACCGAAGCCCTAAACCCTAAGCCCTAAACCCTAAACCCTAAACCCTAAACGTCTACGGTTTAGCGTCCCCCCAACCTTGGACCGCGAGCACCACACATGAGCTACCGTACATGGGGAGGTTTCCGACAGCGGGGGTACGCCTCTCGGGGGTTTAGGGTTTAGGGTTTCGGGTATAGGGTTTAGGGGTTAAAGTCCTATAGAAAGGATTGCAGCATTTGTATGGGGTGAACTAGGGGGAGTCCTGTGTGGGGAAATGCCCAATTCACGTTGCTCCGTCAACATCGACACCGCCATCACGCTGGGTTGAATTAGCCCCTGTTGAAGCCCTCTGACAAAGGTTCCTAAATATGATCCTTTCAAGCCCAATCAGGGTTCAGGGCGCAGGGTTCGAACTGAACCCTAAACCCTAAACCCTAAACCCTAAACCCTAAACCCTAAACCCTAAACCCTAAACCCTAAACCCTAAACCCTAAACCCTAAACCCTAAACCCTAAACCCTAAACCCTAAACCCTAACCCTAAACCTTAAACCCTAAACCCTCCTTCAAACCCTTCCAAACTCCGCCACTCGAGCTTCCGGCCGGCAGCTTGAAACTCCTGGCAGCCGCAGCGCACGCCGTCCTTCCCTGCCGCCAAGCATCACAACCAAAGGGTCCCTAAACCCTAAACCCTAAACCCTAAACCCTAAACCCTAAACCCTAAACCCTAAACCCAAGACCCAAGACCCAAGACCCTAGACCCTAGACCCTAGACACTAAACCAAAGGGTCTGGCAGAGTTGGAGCATGGGTAGTACTTGGGTCTGGGGCTTATAGGGCTTAGGGTTGATAGGGTTTAGGGTTGACAGGGTTGATAGGGTGTGGGGTTTAATTTAGGTTGGCTGAAAATTAAGCGTGAGACGGCTGC